CCTCTACGGTGAAGGGGGGGGGGGTTCGGGGCTGACAGGGGGCAAAGAGGAGGCGGGGCGCGGGGGAGGGGGGCCGCGAGCGAGGCGGGGCTCGAGTGAGGGGCGCACGGCGCGCCCGCGTTTGCAGAGGCGGTCCTGTGAGCAGTCATGGTCGCAGGGTTTGTGCTGCGCGGCCCGACTCAGCCTTTGCTTTGAAGGCAGCCCCTTGCGGGGGCTGAGCTGTGTGCCAGTAGCGGAAAGGACAGCTGGCGAATGGACAGCGTGTTGTTCGCGTTTACATTCCCAACTTCTGTAGCACATAGGACATCGCGGGCAGCTCTTTGACTGACAAACGCCCTCCCTCTCTCCCCCCCATCTCGGACTTGCCCGCCACGCCGTGCAGGCAACTCCCCCCGCTTCAGCGAGGTGACTGCCTAAATGTGTGCGACGGCAGTGCCATTGATGGTGTGAAGCCTCGTCGTTTTGATTTGAGCTGTAAACGAGATCTGACCGGCTGTTTTCCGGCCGCAAACAGACAGCACTTGGCAGCCACGGGGTGTTACGCTGCTTCCTGGCGGCTGGGCCCCTGCATGCCGCACCGTGTGGCGCAAACTGCGATTGCAGCTAGGGACAAGGGTTGCGGCGCCCTCTGCATGCGATGCCGCATGCTTGCCCAGCCACGCGGTGTAAATTTCTGATCACCAGTTGAAGATTTCGCGGCCTGCTCAGCAGCATGGGGAGGCGGGGCAATGCAAGTCATCACTGCCCTCTTGTAGGCACGGGGGACCGGCGGCAACAACTTGACCTGAAACCAGCAGTAGGGCACCACTTGAGCGCCGTTGGTCGACATCCGCACCGCAAAGCATGGCTCGCATATGTGTGCGCTTGTGACATGCAGAGCGCGACCTGAGCTAGCTGAAGTGGTTCCGCTACGGCACTTGCACGATGGCACGCAAACGCGGCGTCGTCATCGCGCGAGCTTGGCTTGGCTGAGGCGATGCCCGGGGAGGGCATAGTGTTGAATTTCCAGCCGTGGGCGGGTTTTCTTGGCCTGTATGGCAATGCCACGCAAGTGCATGGGTGGAGGCGGCCTGATCATGCCTGCCTTTAGCCATGACTATGGCGGGAGGAGTCGCCTATCGGGTAATACTAGGGAAAATACGTGGACTCGCAGCACGAGCAGACCAAATCCAATCCGCCCATGAATGGCTGCCGTTGAAGATCCAGCATGTGCGTTGCATCGTGCGAGTGGTACACCAGATACGCTCTGGCTGGCAAGGGGCGCAGGTGGCACTTGGAACGGGAATTGCAGCCTACGCACTGCAGGCCCAGCAGGTTGCAAGCAGTTGCAAGTGACAGCACAACGAACGGGCCAGCAGGTGCCCCGCGCGTCACGAAGTTCAAGGCGCCGTGCATTCCCGTTGTTGCAGTATGTAGACAGCAGCTGGGGCACTCGGAACATCGACGATAACCATGTATACATCTGACCAGGCACCAGCACAGGTGTTGCGTCAAGTGTGATCTCGTTGGAGACGCATCCTGCAGCTTCATCAGCTTATGGATGTAACACGCGCATAGCCTGTGTGCGCTCAAAGAGGCTTCTTTACGCAGCTGTCTCTCTGCAGATTTGAGCGCTGGCCTCGACACCCCGCCTCACGAGCCATCAGCAGCACTACGTTTGACAGCAGGCATATCGTTATATAGGAATAATGCCCCCGCAAGCAGTGGCACGCGCCAGACCGGCCCCGGCCGCAGCTGCAGATGAGCCGGGACCGACGCAGGAGGAGGTGCTGCTGCATGGCAACCTCTGCCTGCTGGGCGTGCCAGAGTCGGAGGGCGCCAAAGCCGTAGTTCTGGGGCGCACGTTGTTCAGGAAGCCAAACAGCAAGGCGCTTGAGCTGATCTTGTATCACTCATACAGCGCAATCCGCGGCAAGGCCATCACCAAAAAGGTGCGCAGCGGCGTGTTGGAGGGGCATGCTGCAGCAGGCCCAATGCTGGTGCCGGGGCAGGAGGCGCAGCAGCAAATCTAGGTACAATGAAAAATGCAGCAATTGCTGTGAGATGCGCTTTGCCCCAAGGTAAGGGACCGGGCAGAAGCGAGCAAGCCCCGTTCGAACGCGCGTGGCTTGGCTGATGGGGGTTGAGTGCGACCTTGCGGCTGCTGCGCCGCTCGATGCGCCGGCGCCACATCCTGCACGACCCGCAGAACTTCAAGCTGATCTGGCCGATCCAGGAGAAAAAGCAGCAGAAGGAGTTTTACCAGGTGACCTGCTGGCAAAGCAGCAGTCAGGGACCTGGCGGGCAGCGAAAGAGCTGGGCAGCAGCGGCAGCCCTGACAATCATCGTGCAGGCGGCTTGGCCCCCGCCTGCCGTTCTGGGGATATCAATGACCGCCTGACCCCTGACAAGCAGCATCCTTTGACAAATCAATTTGCCTAAATCAACGAACATCAACGCCGCCGCGCCGCAGCTGATCCACCAATGGCTCAAGGAGCTGAAGGATGCGGGGACCCTGGATGCGGTGTCCGCCACCATCACATCATCCATGCGCGCCGCCATGGGGCCCAGGTGCGCACGTCATGCCTCGGCGAAGGGAGGAAGCGTTGGCCATGCGGGGCGCTTGCAGGCAGGATGGTCCGCTGGGTGCAGCAAGGCTTTCGACGGATGAAATGGAACGCACTTCCAACCCTGGGATGCCTTGATACACACAGCCCTTGCAAAATCATGCAAAGCCGCCATGAGCGTTGTGCAATCACCCTCACCATCCCCTGCGCTGAAGGCTGGTTTCCTTTCTCTGCGACCTGACGCACGTCGCCCTCGCCGCGGAGCACGCGCGGCTGTGCCCTAGCGACGACGCGCCCTCCTTCAAGAGCAGCACCGCGCTGCTGGACGCGGTAGGCAGCGGCGCATACCACCCCTTGGCTGGGGTGGGTGCCCCCTTGTCTCTGAGGAGTTGCTCGTGGGTGGACGCACCCCAACATATCACACCAACTCCTTGCAACAAGCACGAACACACACACGCTTGAGCAACCTAACAGCCACAATTCCCGCGTGCAAACAACCCCCCAGGACTCTCGGCTGGTTCATGAGCTGGCGCAGCCGCTGCTGGATATTGCCCGCGCCCAGTCGCAGCTGCACGCGCAGCGCTTCGCGGCAGAGTCCGCCGCGGCGGCAGAGGAGGAGGCGCGGATGGAAGGCGCAGCGGGTCGGCTCAAGGAGGCGTACTATGCGCTCGCGGCTCAGAAGGCGTTTTTGGAGCAGCAGCTGGTGGGCAGCTGCTTAGAGGCCCAGGCGATGTGCAGTAGGCGGCACAGCAATGGGCGTGTGCAGACCTGCTGCAGCAAAGCCTGCGTTGGTGTGTTGGGTGTGGACCCTGGTCACCCTCGTCGCACGACAGCCTCTCATCAGTATTCACCGATGCCAAACAACACCGCGCAACCAATTGCTGCGCTATGCAGGCCGCCAAGGGTTTACCTCTGCCTGACGACACTGCACGTCCTCGCGACTCGAGCTGCGCCCCCTGCGACCCCCTCGCGCTCCCGCTGCCGCCCGCCGCGCCGCCGCCCCCGGCGCTGGCCGCGGCGCGCGACGAGGCGGCCGCGCTGTGGCGGCGGCTGGAGGGCCACCTCGACCGCTTCAACGACCTGCCCGACCTCGTGGACAGCGTCGTGGGGTCCGAGGTTCACCCCTACGCGGTCGACGGCGCCAAGCTCCGGGCGCTCGCGGGCCTGGGCTCGGCCAGCAGCGTGGGGGGCGCCGGCTCGCTCGCCGCGGCGTCGGGCGGCGGGCAGGCTGGCGCCCCGGAGGTCGACGTGGTCGCGCTGCTCGAGGGCTGGCTGGACAGGGTGGAGGCGCTTGAAAGCCACGTGGCGCAGCTCGACGGCGGCGGCGGCAGTGGGGTTGGCGGGGGCGAGCCCACGCCGCTGCTGGCGACGGCCGACGCGCGGAGCCACGCACCGCACCTGTTTGCGCAGCTGGGGGTGCACAGGTCGTGCCTGCAGGGGATGCGGGCGCTGGAGGGGGCGCTGGAGGACGAGCTGGCGGCCACAGGTGGGCGGCTGGGGTCGCGCTTGTTGTTGCTGGTGATTGAACATTGATGTTGCGTACGCATAGGGTTTTGCGGCTCTCTCATGTGCAATTCGGCATGTCTTTGTGCGGTGGTGGGTGGGCAGGGGGTGGGGTGCGTGCATGCGTGCGCTTTCGCGTGTGTTGGTGTGTGTTGGTGTGTGCATGAGTGTGTGTGTGTGTGGCATTTCGTGCTTGTGGCAGGTACATAGAGCCCCCAACGCACGATGCCTGATGGACACATTAGCATGGGTCAGCAATGCCCCGCACACCCTTGCGGTCGCAGGCGCCCGAATCCGCGACCTGAGGCCGCGGGTGGCGGCCGCCATAGCAGCCGTCGACCAGGGCTCGCAGCGCCAGGTGCTGATGTCAGCAGACCAGGAGATCGCAGCCGCCATATCCGCTGCAGCCGCCACAGGCTCCACCCCCAAGGCGCCACAAGGCGCAGACGCCTGGTCGCGCACCATCGGCAGCGGCGCTGCGGCGGCCGGCACGGCGGGGGCGGCGGCCCTGCGCCCAGGGGGGTTGCAGCTGGTTCCTCCGACCCCGGTGCTACAGCAGCTGGCGGGCAGGGCGAGGGAGGATGGGCGAAAGCAACAGCAGGTTGTTGAGCAGCAGCAACTGCAGCAGCAGCAGCAGCAGCAGCAGCCTGGGCTGCCGCAACAGGGGCCATTTGGCCAAGTCCATGCAGTGGCCCCTCGCATCATGGGCCTCCCTGCCCTGCCCTTGGCGGCCATCTCGGAAGCTGATGCCGCCTCGTCCATGGCGGCCGAGCCGGCGGAAGCGCCTTCGCCGGTTCGTGGTGCGGCCGACCCCGATGCTCTGGACGCGTTGTCCCTCAGCTCTGTGGGCAGCGACTGCGTGCTTTCGCCGGCGTTGTCCTTGGCGAGCAGCAGCGGGGGCGGCAGCGGAGGCGGCGGCGACGGCAACGGCGGCGGCAGGGATGATGGCAGCATCGACGTCGGTGATGGGGGCGGCGGCGGCGACGGGGCGAGCAGCGCCCCAGTCCCGCAAAGCGGGCATCCTGTCCCCCATGAACCATGTGAGGAGCGGCAGCGGGCTCAGAGTGGTGGTGCTGCAAGTGACGGCCCATTGCAGGCAGCGGCAGCACCAGCAACAGCAGCAGAACGGTTGCCGCCAGCAACAAGCGCTGGGCCGCTCGGTGGTGCTGAGGAGGCCGTCTCCCCATGCAGCGGCGGCCATACCGTCGCCGCCGACGCCGCCGCAGCGGCGCAGGCTGCGGACGAGGCCCCAGAGCTGTCGCCGCTGGCTAGTGGGGTGGGCAGCGGCGACCTGGGCCCGATGGAGCTGCTAGAATCCCCACTTGTGAGCGATGCGACGGGTTGGTTGAGCTCCGCCAAGCCTCGGCGGCTGTCATACAACGCGGCCTCGACCGGCGGCCGCAGCTGCGGCGCCAGCAGCGGCGCGGCCGTGGCCGCGCGGGGTGGCGCCGAGGCGGCGGTTGCGGCGGCGGAGGTGCAGCAGACGCCGGCGGTGCCTCTGGCGCCGGCGCTTGGGGGCGGCGGGGGCGGGGCGGCGGCAGAGGCCTCCCTGACAATGATGGCCCTGCGCGCACGATTTTCACGAGCGACAGGGGCCGGGCCGACGAGGTAGTGGTGTTGATAGGGTCGCGGCACTCCTGGGTGTTGTGATGCGGCTGCACCTTGGCGATTGGCAACCTTGGCTGTGAGGGGCAGGAAGCATGTGCGGCAGCAGCTGGAAAGCGTGGTACTGTATGCCAGTGCTGCATTTAATGCTATGTCAGCGCCTGATCTGTCTCGTGGGAGATGAATGGAAAAGCACCCTGCCACGACCTCGCCACACAGCGCAAGCGGGGCGCAGGCCACGGCACTGCCGCAGATGTCGCAAAGGGGGCAGGCCTGGTGCGGCTGGCTGCGAATTGCAAGCCAAACAGCGGCGCCCCCAGGCGTGTGATGGCTTGCTGCGTGTGGCCCCGCCTCCCGGGGGAAGTCGCTGGAAACTGACGACGAATTGGTCCTCAGGCTGGCTTTGGAGCTACCTAGCGGGCTTGCAGGCAGCACAACAACGCGGTGAAGTAGGGCATATCCCCTGGCGGCGCGCATCAAGATGTCCAATGGATGCGCTTGCTGCGAAAGCTGCTCGTTTCCCCATGCTCCTGGCGTGCCAGGGGCCTGCGTGCCATTTGGATGCAGGGGGGGGGGGTGTCGGCAGCATGTGATACGTCTTGACAGACAGGCTGACATGGACCGAAACGCAGCAAGGTGCACAAGCGGCCAGGTCTGCGGCTGTCGCACTCAGTCTTTGGGTGTCAGCAAGCGCCAGCAGGCCGGACGGCTGGAACCAAAGGTGCTTGGCGGCAGCAGAGCGTGGGTTTAGCGAGGCAGGAGAGAAGCGCTTGTTGAGACCGACAGCGTGAGAATACATGCAGCAGGGTTTTGCTGGATCATATGTGTAGGTGGTAACTGCACAGTCCACGAGAGAACGATTTACGTTTCTAGGGGGGATTCCTTTGCTTTGTTCAGTGCAGTTGTAGTTGCGGTCTGACTGCTTGTTTGGCATGTAGTAACAGGCCTCAATCTATAAAACCATAGACCAGGACCATGATCTCTGAATCTTGCAAGGCCCAGTTTCACAGGGACGCCGGAACAGAGAGTAGGCAACTGCTCATCTGGGCGCAGCAGGCAGCAGCTACCAGGTGTGGATCCAGTACTAATTACTCGCCCGTCACTAAAAGATAATTCTGTCTCATGACACACATGCACTCACAACACAACGTCAGTCTCTCGTCTTGAATGCAGCGAGCCGGTAGAAGTCAGGTGCACCGCCTGGTTGGCATGTCAACAGGACAAGTGCGAAGGGGTGTGATCAGCCCCTGCACAGCAGCAGCTGCAGGCAGACTGGCGGGGCGGTGCTTCCCCATGGTAAGAATATCAATCAGTAACTGGCTGGTTTTGTAGGGGTCACAAGCATGCGCCTGAATCAGTTGTCCTGCGACGTACGGCAGGTGTAGTGCGAAGCGCCCCACCCAGTTCTTACCCGAGCAGCCACAAAGCATCTTGCCGGCTACTGTTACGGCCGTGCGGCGCAGCACCTTCTTGAGTCAGCCGCGAAACGAGCGTGCCACAGCCTCAAATACGTACCCGAGTCTTGGTTCTCAAACTCAAAAATTCAAGCAGTCGCCACTGCACAGTGATCTATCGCCCTTTTTGGGAGCCCTTACCTGCGTACAGCGTGTTTAGAGAAGTTCTTCAGGACTGTAACAGCCCTGTGACTGGCGGAGGGACGCGGAGGACGCGGGCAGCATGGCGGAGTCCCTCAAAAAGCCCCTGCTTGGGCAGAGGGCCGATGCAGGCGCTCCGGCGCAGTCTAAATCAGGTGCATGGGCATCCAGGGTGGACCACGACGCTCTTTGGGCGATCTGGAACAAGTGTGAATCCAAGAACTGGCCTTGTCAAAACTGCATCCCCACCTAGCCACGCGTTTCTCCTGTCATACCGCTCTCGCGACCGCAGAGTGCCGACTGCAGGACAAGTGCTTCCTGTCAGAGGGGCAAGCGCAGAGCGCGCAGCAGTACAACTCAGTGCAGCGCAAGCTCATCCTGGCGTGCGTGCTGTGCTTCGCCTTCATGGTGGTGGAAGTGATTGGCGGCTGGATTGCACGCAGGTGTGCGTGGATCAAACATGCATGCTCGCCTGAGTGTGGCCGGCCCACCAAGTCTGCGGCACAAGGCGGTTGTCAGTTGCCGCAGACCCAGCGCAGCCGTCCTCAGCGGCCCCGAAGAGCCCGCACCCTCCCGCGTGCCCCGGCTAGGCGCGAAACCCCGCACCCTCCCTCAACCCGGCACCCCTCACTCGCACCCCCTCGCAGCATCGCCATCATGTCGGACGCGGCCCACATGCTGTCTGATGTAAGCTCCTTCCTCGTCGCCATCTTCGCGGCCTGGGCGGCCACGCAGCCGGGGACGCAGCTCTACTCTTTTGGGTACCACCGCGCGGAGATCCTGGGGGCGCTCGTGTCGGTGCTCATCATATGGCTCGTCACCGGCGCGCTGGTGTTTGAGGCGGTGCAGCGGACCATCAACCCAGTGCGGGTCGACGGCAAGCGTGAGCGGGCGGGGCGCCCCGGGCAAGCGGCCGACGAGTTGCGGGGTCCAGGCAGAGGGGCCGCAATCGGGGGTGCGCTGCGGCTTCATTGCAGCCACTGCTACTGCAGGCCCAGCGGCAGCCTGCTGGCAGTGGCCTGGCCCATGTGTGCAGTCGCAAAGCAGCGCTTGACACGGGCGTGCGTGCGCGCAGTGGCACCCCAGTAGTCGGCTCCTGCCGCACGTAATGTGCGCTCCCAAATTTTCCTCGCGTCGCCCCCAGTGATGTTCATCATATCCCTGGCGGGCATCGTGTTTAATGTTTTGGTGTACCTGGCTCTGGGCGTGCACGGCGGCCACGGCCACAGCCACGACCACGGCGGCGGCGGCGGGTGCAGCGGGCACGGCCATGGGCACGGCCATGCACATGCAGACGAGGCGGATGAGGAGCATGCCCATGATCATGATCATGACCATGGCAGCCACGGGCACGGGCATGAGCACGGCCATGGTCATGACCACCACCACGGCCACAGCCACTCGGACCACAGCAGCTGCGGCGGTCACGGGGCCGGCGCGGCGGCCGGCGGGCAGCAGCAGCAGCAGCAAGCGGCGGCCGGCGGCGGCAGCGGCGTCGTGATCGCCGTGCCTGAAAGCAAGCTGCTCATCCAGCAGACCGGCGCGCGCGAAATCGAGGTCCGCTGCGAGCTGCCCATCTCCACGGCCGCCCCCGGCGCCGCCGGCGCGCCGGCGGCCGCGGCGCGCGCGCAGCGACAGGCGGCCAGGGCCTCGGGCGGCGGCCACTCGGACAACATCAACCTCCGTGGCGCGGTGCTGCATGTGATCGGCGACCTGGTGCAGTCGGTGGGCGTCGCGCTGGCGGGGCTGCTGATCTGGCTGCACCCCGATGACCCCCGGTGGTACATTGCGGACCCGATCTGCACGTTCCTGTTCTCGGTGCTGGTGCTGTGGACGACCAAGAACATCCTGTCGGACATAGTGGCGGTCCTCATGGAGCGCGCGCCGCAGACGGTCAACCCTGTCCAGGTGCGATGCGGCTGCAGGAGGGTGTGTGTGTTTGTGTGGGTGTGGGTGTGGGTGTGGGTGTGTCAGGCTCCAGGCAAGGGGCTGGAGTTGTGCAATGAGGGCAGTTGAGACTTGAGAGGCTCCTGGGACTGTGGTGATTTGAAATTGAGGGGCTTGGGTTGGCGACTAACAATGAGTTCTCAAGTGGCACGCCAAGCAAGCATTTCCCACTTTGAGCAGCCTGAGCGTGACTCTGGCCCGAAACCCACCTGCGCACCGTTCCCCTGCGT